ATATTAAACTTAAGCTATAAAGCTATATTAACCTTAGCCTTTTACTATAGCATAAGCTAGGGCTTTAAGGCAGCATAGCCGCTAATAAATAATAACCCAAGTTATTTAACCTAATTTAATAGTTTTCCTTATTATTTTTTTTAACCTCTTGCTTTTAATATCTAGTTACCCCTCTTTTAATCTTCCTTTAGTTATATAAATAGCCTAATCTACCTCTAAAGCTTATTTAAGCTAAACCCCTTATATAATGGCTTAATCTGGCTTAACTATATAATGCCACCGGTTTAACACAAGTCCTCCCTAACCAGATAGGTACCTACCTTAGCTTTTACACTTTTGCCCCACATAAACCAACAGAGGCTCAATACAGTCGGCATCAATCTTGTCTTCTTCATCATTATACCTAGTACATCGTGGCTTCCAAGATGCCTATCTCCACGTGCGTGTCATTGCACACCCGACACCACGTGAACCATATCTGCTAACATTCAGTAGTGTATACGTCCAAAACCTCGAAGAGCGCGTCAAGCTTGATGCGTTGGTGGATGCCTTGAGAACAGTATTCGCAGAGTTCGGCAATGTTGTCGACATTGTGGCGAAGAAGAATCTGCGTGCCAAAGGTCAGGCATTTGTTGTCTATGATAGCCCTGAAAGCGCCCAAGATGCTATCAACGAAATCGATGGGTTCGAGCTTTTCGGCAAACCTATGAAACTTGCTTTCGCGCGAACGCAGAGCGACAAGACCGTTGAACTAAAGGGCAATCGGGAAGAGCTCGAACAGCATAAGCGTCATCGACAGGCTGAGAAGGGTATAATCATTTCGATCTCTCATCTTCCTTCATCGCTAACTTCGGCGGGACATATAGATAAACGCAAGGCTCTTGAGTCTGCGGAAGAGCAGAGACAAATCAACAAGCGAGGGTCTGGCTCAGTCAACGACAATCGACCTGCAAAGGCGGCGAAATCATCAGGCCTCAAGTCAACCAGCGCCACAGCATCCGGCAGTGTGCTTGACGAGTTCCTCCCACCCAACAAGATTCTTTTTGTCCAGAACTTCCCCGAAGACTATGACATTGAGACTTTGACCAGCGTGTTCGGCCGGTTTGACGGATTTCGCGAGATTAGGCTGGTACCTGGTCGTCGTGGTATCGCATTTGTCGAATACGAGGCAGAACAAGGCGCTATTACTGCCAAAGAAAACACGGCTGGTTTACACCTGGGAGACAAACCCATCAAGGTCACC